CCCCGCCAATTTCAACACCCAGGGCCCGGATCGCGTCCTTCTCGTTTTGCCCTTGGGTTGAAATTGGAGGGGAAAAAAAATCCTTCCAATTTCAACACTCTGACGGGAAAATTAATGGTTTAGAACTATTTTGAACCATGTTAGAGCGTTTTCACTCGGTTCTAGGTAGTGAGGTGATGTTGCTTGGACCGAACCGCGCTCGAAAAGGGGTTGAAATTGGCAGGGATTGAAGTTGGCAGGGACAGGTGTAGTTCTCTGATAGGTTGCCTTGACCACGAAGACAGGCGTCAACACTGTCCCCTGCAGTCCACGCTTTACGGAAAGGAAATTCTGTTTCTGGCCAATTAGCATCGACCGAGATGCTCGCATATTCAGCAGCCGCGCTTTTCCTCGTGGCTTTCTCCGCAGATACCGTTCCCAGAGCGTGGATAGGAGAAAGTTGGAAATGCAGAAAGTTGCTGCTGCTCTCGTCTGCGAGCAGTCCAAAAGAATCCTTCCCTCATCCCCGTTGGCCGTCACGAAGCCTACTCAGTATTTCTCCCACGCGCACATGCACTTTCGGCAGAAGCAGGGAGTACAGTCGGTGCTCATTACAAGAACACCAGGTAGGCGGGCGGCATGTGCGTGAAACGAGTTTTGGGGTTTTCGCCACATTCGCCCTTCTCGCCACAGGCAAAAATGTGACTGGAATATAAAATTGGTATGTGAATCGAGTCTAGGGTTTTAAGTTCGTAACCAGGTAAACTTTTCTGATGACCGGCAACCGTTGTTGTTTATGAACTGTAGATGTTTTTCTTCCGCAACTTGGGCCTTGTTCGGGAGAACATGAGGATGAGGCCTATATGAGGATGAGGATGAGAAAGTATAGGCTCGGATGCCCAAAAATTGCGTGTGACCCCCATGCGACCTCCATCGTGACCAAACCTGAAGATTTGGAAACGCCTTCCTCATTCTGACCTCATCAGCGGCTCCAGATACCAAAGCGCTGCCCCTACCGCCCATTGACTGCACAATAATCACAGGCAAAAGTTGCCTCACTTCCCCCTCGTCATGCTCTCGCGAGGGCAAAGTGAGTGACCTCTATCTTGAAATTTTGATGAGCATCTTGGTGGCTACTTCACGATTACCCTGGGCTGAGAAATCTATCTTGTAGGCCCTGTCATTCGCTCTTGTATTTGTACTGATTCATTTTCGTTTCGCAAGGGTAGCTACGATTCGGAAAAGTGATTCGGGATGGCTTCACAATGGGGGGTCGGGAATGTACCAGAGGAGGTAGTTGTGATGGGGCATCGTGATCCCCACGGTGAGGTTTGTTGTCTTCTTTGCTCCACGTGGGGCGTTGACTATGCACACCCGTGTCCGTTTGTACAACTGTCGATGCAGTTTGTACAGCTGTAAAAATTGTAGAACTTCGCAGCACTGACTCTAACTTAGAACCCTTAGTCAGCACTTAGTAGCCACACGCACGCGTTACTTTACAGCCAGTGGCACGCTCGCTACGAATGGTGCGCAATGCGCCACTGTCACGGTAACAAACGAAACGAACATGCCTGTGTACACGTGTACTGCAGTAGACGGTGATTGGGCAATGGTCCTCTGCAATGCACGCAGTTTGGGCGCAGTCCATCTCGTGTGATTGCTCGACAGACAGCCAATGCGTTGCAATCGCAATCGCAACCTCCGATGCTCTTAGGAGTCCTAGTCCACATCTTTCCTCTTGATCCTCCCACTGCGATGAGTATTAAAACGCTGGCCACGAGCGCGGAATTTACGAAGGCAATACAACAGATGATTCGTTACGAGCTCAACCCCACACCCAGTCGCAGGCTCGCAGTTCAAGCCATTGTCGCCAAGCCCAGCTTTTGCAACGGTGGGGCCCAACAATCACCCGTTCCCCTTTTCGAACGCCCGTGTTTCTCGCCGTTTTGACTAAGCAAACCGTGTCAGTGATTGCACGCCGTTTTCAACGAGAAATCATCGCGTCGCATCACAGGGCGTCCCAAATTGGAAACATGTCGTCCACAACGCATCGCACGTCGTCGACCAGCCGCGCCTCGACGCGCCGAGTGCGTGCAAACCCCGCCAGTCCCGGCGGCGGCGCCGCTGTGCCGTTGAATTCAAGAAGATCCCTGGAGATTCACGTCAGCGCTGCCGCTGCCGATTGTGACGGCGCGTACTACAGCGGCGTCACCATCTCGCATCTACCAGTGGCAGATGTCACATCTGCCGCTAGTAGTCGAAGTAGGGATCACCACGGATCATGGCATGATCATCGAAATGTCAGCTGCACCCCCACGAACACGCTAGACTTCCTTGTCTCCAAGATTTTTCTAGGGGAGTCCCCTTCCGCGTTACCTTTCCCATTCCCTTCAGCCTCTCCTCTCGCCGACTCCATTCCTTGGCCGTCCGATGCAGCTCGGTTCAGCGCAACTTTCGATGGAGAGCCCTGCGGCGGGGCTTTTGTTGGGGGGGGAACTGCTAGTGGCGCCGTGGGAGCCGACGTGGCGATTGAGGATTGGTTCGATGAAGAAGTGGCATCAATGGTTCAAAAAGCACCAGCGGTGGTGGGGCGGAAGCAGCGGCAGCGGGTGATGCGGCAGTGGTTTGACGATGCTGTTAAACTGTATTATGCTTGTAGGCTGTAGTGGGGTAGCCAATATGGGGTACAACCCCAACTAGGGTTTGTTATTTGTACCCAAACTTCTCCTAGTTCAATCATTCTTGCCTAGTGATTCTGAAATGGTATTCAGAGCAGGAGGTCCCTAGGACCTACCGACCGTTTTTTTTTAGGGCCCACCACCGCTCGCATGCGGTTACCACGCTACCCCGTGCCCTAGCCTCGTAGCGCCCTCGTGCGCCCACGTTAGCGCCCTCGCGCGCCCCTCGTTAGCGCCCTCGCGCGCACCCTCGTTAGCGCCCTCGCGCGCCCCTTCGTTAGCGCCCTCGCGCGCCCCTTGCTAGCGCCCTCGCGCGCCCCTCACTAGCGCCCTCGCGCGCCCCTCGCCGAGCCGCCCGCTCGCAGCCCGCCCGCCCGCTCGCTGCCCGCTTCGCGGCCCGCCCGCTTCGCAGCCCGCTCGCCCGCTCGCTGCCCGCTTCGCGGCCCGCTCGCTCGCTGCCCGCTTCGCGGCCCGCCCGCTTCGCAGCCCGCTCGCTCGCTGCCCGCTTCGCGGCCCGCTCACTACGCAGCCCGCCCGCCCGCTCGCTGCCCGCTTCGCGGCCCGCCCGCTTCGCAGCCCGCTCGCTCGCTGCCCGCTTCGCGGCCCGCCCGCCTCGCAGCCCGCTCGCTCGCTGCCTGCTTCGCGGCCCGCCACTTCGCAGCCCGCCCGCCCGCTCGCTGCCCGCTTCGCGGCCCGCCCGCCTCGCAGCCCGCTCGCCCCGCTGCCCGCTTCGCGGCCCGCCCACTTCGCAGCCCGCCCGCCCGCTCGCTGCCCACTTCGCGGCCCGCTCGCATCGCAGCCCGCCCGCCCGCCCGCTGCCCGCTTTGCGGCCCGCCCGCCTCGCAGCGTCGCCCGCCCGCCGTGCTGCCCGCTTGCAGCGCCGCCTGCCCGCCGCGCTGCCCGCTTCCCGGCCCGTCCGCCGCGCTGCCCGCTCGCAGCGTCGCCCTCCCGTCGCACTGACCGCTTGCAGCGCCGCCTGCCCGTAGCGCCAGCCTCGCCCGCTGCTCTCTATCCGTGCACAGTCGCCTTCCCCTGCTGCGGCAGCTTGCGTTACTCTGTCACACTGTCGCTATGGCTTCCATTCGCGTGCTGTCGTTCGATGCTGAGGGCCGCCCTGTGCGTTTCACCGCTTGGCTAGATGACCTGCAGCTGTTCCTCCTGAGCGATAGCAAGGAGCATGTGTCGCTCTATGACTACGCGTCTGGTGCTGCGCCTGCCCCTCCTGCCACAGCTGAGCTTAGTGTTCGTTCCCACTGGCAGACTCGTGACGCAGCTGCTCGCCTAGCCATTCGCAGTCACCTGCCGTTAGCTGAGCTAGAGCATTTTGGCGACTGCAAATCCGCTAAGGCCCTGTACGACGCTGTCGTCGCTCGCTACTCCTCGCCTGCCACAGCCGAGCTTAGCCGCCTCATGCTGCCGTACCTGTTCCCCGATCTGTCCACCTTTACTACAGTCGCCGATCTTATCACCCACCTGCGCACTAGTGATGCTCGCCTGCGTGCCGCCCTACCCACCGAGTTCTGCGCTAAGAACCCCCCTCCACTGTACTGGACACTCCACTTTATAGTCACTCGTCTCCCTGACACCCTCCGCTCAGTTCGAGACCATTTCCTTGCTCGCTGTCCCACTGAGCTCACAGTCGCCCTCCTAGAGGAGCACCTGCTCGCGGCCGAAAAGAGCATTGTAGCTGTCGGTGCTGCTCGTGGCGCTCCTCGCACCCCCATCTTTGAGGGGTGTTCTCCCTCTCCCCTCGCTCCCTCCTACGCTGCTGCTGCTGCTGTTGACTTCCTTGGTGCTGAGTCTGTTGGCGCTGCTTCTGCTCCTGGTGGGAGGCGCCGCACCGGCAAGGGCAAGGGGGGCAAGGGTGGTGGTGGTGGCGCTGGGGGAGGAGGTGGGGGAGGTGGGGGGGGAGGCGGTGCTGGAGGGAGCGGTGGCGGGAGCGCTGGTGGGAGTGGGGTCGGGGGTGGAGACGGGGGCGGCGGAGGAAGCAGTGGCAGTAGTGGCGGCGGCGGCAGTGGCGGCGGTGGCGGTGGTGGCGGTGGTGGCGGTACCGGTCGGAGCGGTGGTAGTGGTGGCGGCGGAGGTCGGAGTGGAGGCACTGGCTCGGGCCAGAGCTCCCAGCAGCAGCAGCGTCCCCAGACGACCCAGCAGCTTCGTGAGTGGCTTGCTCAGCGTGGGACGTCGGGGGCCAGTGCCCGCTGTTCTTATGTCATTCGCACAGGTGACCGCAAGGGACAGACGTGTGGGAGGTTCCACACCCCGTACCGCTGCTTCTCCCGCCTTGACGACGCTTGGCGTGAGGAGATGGGTGCGGATGTTGAGCGCCCCCGCTGGGCTGAGCTCATGAGGGCTGGTGTTGATGTCTTTGCTCTTGACTATGATGCTATTATTGCTGCCATGTATGCATTGACTGTTAGTGCCGAGGGAGACTGTTACTTGTGTGTGCCGCCTGACCCAGGTATAGAGCCCGCTGCCCTGGGTACTAGTGAGTCTGCTCTCTCTGGTATGGTGCCCCCTGTACTTGCTCCCCCCAGTGCTGTCCCGGCTGGTTTCGAGTCTGCTCTCTCAGGTACAGCACCCACACAGACTGCTCCCTCAGGTACCGCACCGGCTGAGGCCTGTCACACCTTCACCCTTGACTCAGGTGCTTCCCGTTGCTTCTTTCGTGACAGTACTGAGCTCACACCGCTTCCTGCACCGGTCCCAGTCTCCTTGGCTGACCCCTCTGGGGGCCCAGTCCTTGCCCAGTCCACTACTGTCCTCCCTTGTCCGGCGGTTCCGTCTGGCTCGTTGTCGGGTTTCCACCTCCCCTCGTTCTCGACGAACCTGGTGAGCAACGCTGTCCTCCAGGATCAGTGGGTTGACACCTTTACCCCTGGCGGACAGCGTGTGGCGATCTGCACGTGCTCCAGGACTGGCCGTCACCTGGCTACGTTCACCCGTCGGCCGGGGTCGAGTCTCTACACACTGACCACTGCGTCTCCCCAGGTAGCTGCTGTCGGTCAGGTGTCTGCGTCAGGTCTGGTGGCCCACGCCTGTGAGTGTCGTTCCCTGTCGCACCAGACTCTTCTCTGGCACCACCGCCTGGGTCACCCCTCCTTGCCACGCCTTCGTGGCATGCACCGTCGCCTCCTTGTGTCTGGTCTTCCCAGGTCCCTCCCTCCCCTCCCTGCCTCGCCTGCGCCGCCTTGCCTTCCTTGCGTCGAGGGGCGGCAGCGCGCCGCTCCTCACTCCTCCTCGTTCCCCCCGACAGAGGCTCCTCTGGAGACCCTCCACCTGGACGTGTGGGGCCCAGCCCGCGTTCGTGGTCAGGGCGGTGAGCGGTACTTTCTGCTGGTTGTCGACGACTACTCGCGTTACACCACGGTCTTCCCCTTGCGCACCAAGGGTGAGGTCCCTGCTGTTCTGATCCCTTGGATCCGCACGGTTCGTCTCCAGCTCCGCCGCCGTTTCCGGACGGATCTTCCTGTCCTGCGTCTGCACTCTGACAGAGGTGGTGAGTTTTCCTCCGATCTCCTGAGGACCTTCTGTCAGGCAGAGGGCATCGAGCAGACCTTCACGCTTCCGGACTCCCCACAGCAGAATGGGGTTGCTGAGCGCCGCATTGGCCTGGTCATGGAGATCGCTCGTACCTCCTTGGTCCACGCGGCGGCTCCCCATTTTCTGTGGCCGTTTGCTGTCCGGTACGCCGCGCATCAGCTCAACCTCTGGCCCCGTGTCTCCTTGCCGGAGACCTCGCCCACACTGCGTTGGACGGGGGAGGTTGGCGATGCGTCGCGCTTCCGGGTGTGGGGTGCTCGTGCCCTTGTCCGCGATACGTCCGCGGACAAGCTCTCCTCCCGCACGCTTCCCTGTGTCTTCCTTGGCTTTGTCCCTGACGCGCCTGGCTGGCAGTTTTACCACCCCACCTCGCGCCGGGTCTTCGCCTCTCAGGATGTCACCTTTGACGAGTCGGTCCCTTTTTACCGTCTCTTCCCCTACCGCACTGCCCCCCTCCCTCCCCCGCCGCTTTTCCTTGCTCCTGGTCCCCCTCCGGTAGACCCCCTTCCCCCTCAGGGTCCTGCTCCTTCAGGTGTCTCTCAGGTAGACCCTCCTCCCGTCGCTGAGCCTGTCGAGGTCACAGGTGACTCAGGTGCTGCTGCGGGTGGTGCTGCTGGGAGTACTGAGCCTGGGGGTGCTGGGCCTGGGGGTGCTGGGGCTGCAGGTGCTGGGACTGAGGGTGCTGGAGCTGAGGGTACGGTGCCTGAGAGTACGGAGCCTGGGGGTGCTGCGCCTGGGGGTGCTGAGCCTGCGGGTGCGGGGCCTGGGAGTGCTGGGACTACGGGTGCTGGAGCTGAGGGTACTGTGCCTGAGAGTTTGCCGCCTGGGGGTGCTGAGCCTGGGGGTGCTGCGACTGGGGGTGCTGAGCCTGCGGGTACTGAGCCTGCGGGTACTGAGCCTGGGGGTGCTGCTACTGAGCCTACGGAGCCTCGGGTTACTGCGTCTGGGGGTGCTCCGGTTCGGGGTGCTGAGCAGTCTCTCACACCGCAGCAGCTTCGCGACTGGTACGTCCGACGCTTTCGCCGTCCTAGTGGCTCGACTGGAGTTTGGGGTGCTGGAGCTGCTCGTCCTGGGGGTGCTCGTACTGGGGGTACTGGAGCTGCTGGAGCTGGGGACTCTGGCGCTGGCGGTGCTAGCGGAGTTGGAGCTGCCGACTCTGGGGGTGGCGCGGCTGCTGGTGCTGCGGACCCACCTGGTGGAGCTGCTGCTGGTGCTGAGGAGTCGGACGGTGGAGCTGCTGCTGGAGCTGGGGACCCGGCCGGTGGAGCTGCTGCTGGTGCTGTGGACCCGGCCGCTGGAGTCCCTTCTGCTTCTGGAGACCCTGCGCGGCCGCGACCGTACTTCGTACCGCTCCTTCAGCAGGTTCTTGGGCAGGCTCCTCCTCCTTGTCCTCCTCCCTCCGTAGAGTGTCCTCCGCCTGTCCAGCCGCAGTCACAGTTACCGCCTGCCTCGCCTCTCCCTGCTCCCTCTCCTTATACTGGTCCCACAGGAGGTCTTACAGAGCGTCGTGAGCCTGAGTCTCGTCCTGCGTCGCCTGTTCGTCCTGCTCGCACTGGTAGTCGTGTCCGTCGTGAGCGTCCTCCTCCTGTCCCAGGCACTCACTACATGACTCTGCGTCCCTCTACTGCTCCTCGACGTGTCCCTCTACCGTCTCCTCCTGCGTCCTCTTTGCCTGCCGTTCCGGACCCTGAGTCTGACCGGTATCGCGCTGAGCACCCTACAGTCACGCGTCTCCTTGCTACTGTTGTCACTGACCCCACCTTTGAGTCCTCGGCTGCGTCTGCTCTGGTCGCTGAGTTGGTTGACTTTGCTGCTGCCTGTCGTCTAGACTACGCTGCTAGCCTTGTCGCTGAGTCAGAGTCTGCGTCTGTCTGTCCTCCGTCCGTCGGGGGTGAGTGTGCTCTTGGCACGGACGTCCTTGAGGACAGGCAGGAGGACTTTGACTCTCTTGCGGCTGCTGTACCTCATCTCGTGGCCTGGTTGCTTGCCCCTGAGGGAGACCCGGATGCACTAGACATCCCCACTCCGCGCACTTACGCAGAGGCGATCTCGGGTCCCTACTCCTCTCAGTGGCAGACAGCCATGGACGCAGAGATGGCATCCTGGAAATCCACAGGCACCTACGTCGACGAGGTTCCCCCTCCTGGGGCGAACATCGTCGATGGCATGTGGATTTTCAGGGTGAAGCGGCCGCCGGGTTCTCCACCTGTCTTCAAGGCGCGTTACGTGGCTCGAGGCTTCAGTCAGCGTCAGGGGGTCGACTTCTTCCAGACCTTCTCCCCCACCCCGAAGATGACTACTCTTCGGGTTTTGCTGCACGTTGCTGCTCAGCGTGACTACGAGCTTCACTCTCTTGACTTCAGCACAGCGTTCCTGCAGGGCAGCCTGCACGAGGAGATCTGGCTGCGCCGCCCACCTGGCTTTACTGGGTCGTTTCCCCCTGGTACCCAGTGGAGTCTCCGCCGGCCAGTCTACGGTCTCCGCCAGGCGCCACGTGAGTGGCACGACACACTGAGGACTACTCTTGCGGCTCTTGGGTTCGCGCCGTCTACTGCTGACCCGTCGCTGTTTCTGCGCACTGACACGTCGCTGCCGCCCTTCTACATCCTCGTGTACGTCGACGACTTGGTCTTTGCTACTGCTGACACTGAGGCACTCGCTCGTGTGAAGTCGGAGCTGCAGAAGAGACACACCTGCACTGACCTGGGTGAACTGCGTAGCTACCTTGGCTTGCAGATCACCCGGGACAGAGCCCGTCGCACCATCACCCTGACTCAGTCACACATGGTGCAGCAGGTCCTTCAGCGCTTCGGCTTCCAGTTCTCCTCACCACAGGCCACACCTCTGGCTACCAGCCACTCACTCTCAGCTCCACCTTCGGACGAGTCCGTAGAGCCGAGTGGCCCGTACCCAGAGCTTGTAGGCTGCCTCATGTACCTGATGACTTGCACGCGACCTGACCTTGCGTACCCTCTTAGCATCCTTGCTCGTTACGTTGCGCCTGGGAGACACAGGCGAGAGCACTGGGAGGCTGCTAAGAGGGTGCTGCGTTACTTGTGCAGTACATCAGGCATGGGGCTGGTGCTTGGAGGACGCGACAGAGTTGTCCTCACTGGTCACTCGGACGCCTCTTGGGTGGACGACCTGGCTACGCAGCGGTCGTCACAGGGTTACACCTTCAGCCTTGGCTCTGGTTCTGTCTCGTGGCGGTCCACCCGCTCTTCCTCTGTTCTCGGCTCTAGTTGTGAGGCTGAGATCTACGCCACAGCCATGGCTGCACAGGAGTTACGCTGGCTCACCTACCTGCTGACTGACTTGGGAGAGCGGCCTAGTTCTCCGCCAGTTCTGTACGGTGACAACAAGGCGGCTCTTGCCTTGTGTCAGGAGCACAGACTGGAGCACAGGACGAAGCACATTGCTCTTCGCTACTTTCTTGCTCGAGAGCTTCAGCAGCGCGGTCAGCTTCGGCTTGTGTACGTGGACTCGAAGGCCAACACTGCTGATATCTTCACCAAGGCGCTCCCGCCTAGTGATCATCAGCGGCACTGTACTTCTTTAGGCCTTGTGTCCACGTTTCCTCACTTGCTCACTGCTTGACATTCTTTGTACTGTACTTTATATATATCTTGTTGCTTGCTTGCTAGGTTTTGATCACTGTGTTGCTTGTCTTGTACTATATCTAGCACTGCATGTGAACTGGCCTTGTGGCCTTTACTTGTGCTCGGAGTGTGGTGACGTTGTGATCCACCCTGGGCTTTGCTTTGCTTTGCTGGACTGGTCTTGTGACCCTTTGTTCTCCCCCACTTTGCCTATGGGGGTGTGTTAAACTGTATTATGCTTGTAGGCTGTAGTGGGGTAGCCAATATGGGGTACAACCCCAACTAGGGTTTGTTATTTGTACCCAAACTTCTCCTAGTTCAATCATTCTTGCCTAGTGATTCTGAAAGATGCTCCTCATAAGCTTGTTTCGCCCACCTTCCCTGATGTCAATGGGCGCCGGACAAGCCAGGTCAACCGAATCAACTTAGTCAACGTTCATTCAAAACAGTCCACGCTGTCAACGCCTTCAATGCATTGAGCGCGGTCAATGGAGTCAACGCACTCGACACAGTGACTGCGGAAACAGCTGCCTGTGACTATTCTGAATCAGCACCTGATAAAGCCAGATTCCTGGCCTCGGAGTTAGCTCCTGACTCCTGCAGCCTCGGATGAGTCCTGAAAAGCACGCCAGTGGACTGGCAACTCAGGCAGCAGATGAGAGGAATGTGAAAGTGGGAGAGGTGTAGAGGTGGCAGCGACTTCTGCTGAAGAGGAAGATAGGCAGTACGGCGTGATAAGGAGTTGCGTGCACTGCACCACCGGGGAGATTGCAAGAACGAGCATCCGCAAGGCCATATTCAAGTGATACTTTTGAGAATTCCCCCCCCCAACATGCTTGTTCCACCTTTCCATTCTGATATCCCTGCTTTTTTCCTCTGCTCCTGAACCGAATCCGTTTGCCTCGTGTCCCTCATCAGCATCTTGTTTTCCTTTCCTTTCCTCCCTTCCCTATGGCTCTTGCCTTTCCAACTGTGCAAAGCGCAGCTGACGTGGAGGCAGTGCGGAATGAGGTGGCATTCATGGAGGAACTAAAGAGCCATGTTATCATCATTCGAACCAAGAAGGCTGCGGAGATGGTAAGGGTGAGTTACCCTTATCTGTTACCCTTTCTCCCATTGATTTTTTCTTTTTGCCGTGTCATTCGGATACTTCAAACTTGATCCACCAATACAAGCCCTTTTGTTGCCATTGCTGACCAATTTCCACTACACTACAGTCACCCATAACATTCTTTTGTGTCCTGTAAACGTTTTTGGCACACTCCTAGCACGCTCACTCATTGCTTTGCTTTTTTTTTCCTTTACTCTTTCCATCCCTCCCTCCCTTACAGACACTCCCTTCCCACAGCCACCACATGCATTTGGTGAAGGGGGCTTTGTAAAGGGGGACCTGCTTGTATGGAAGTATGCTACTTGGAATTGTGCTTATAGCAGGGACAACCCAAGAGACGTGTTTAGCACGCATAAAAAAAACGCCCAATAGCGTCAGACTGATCGACTATGGCATCGCTGCAAAAAAAACCCGCGGCCCAAAGTGCAGAGCGCGCGGGTCAAGCTTTTAAAACTTGACGAAGTAGTGTTTGCAAGCTTTGAAAAGAAGCGCGCCTAAAATTTGGGACTTTTGGGAACTGAACCAACCCCCAGGGCGAAATACCAGGGCAGGCTGGGTTTGGCGAAAAAAATGAGAGAGAGAGAGAGAGAGAGAGAGAGAGAGAGAGAGAGAGAGAGAGAGAGAGAGAGAGAGAGAGAGAGAGAGAGAGAGAGAGAGAGAGAGAGAGAGAGAAATCGTAATCATTCGCCAAAACCTGGACTAGAAAAACTCCCTCGCAATTTGGGCCAACGGTTTTTACAAGATGTTGGATGAAACAACTCCAGATGTTGGAGCTTTGTGTGGGAGGGGACCTGTTTATATGAAACTGTTTTCATAATGAGGACATCCCAGGAGCCACGTTCAGCATGTCTCCAGAATCGCTGAAAGCGATTTTTTATAGGCCTCGATGTCGCTCTGTTAATAAATTCGGGTGCTCAAAAGATGTTACGATACGAAGTTTTATGAGAAGGCATTCCTGTATGTTGCAGGAGCCGACTCTACTGAGTAAGAAGTCGAGGAGACAAAAGAATCGAAGCGACACAGCAACCGTCTGACCAAGGGCGATGCGGGAAGAAGCATTTGAAATGAAAAGAGCGGGAACAGGTTTGAAACCGATTCCCGCGCCGCACAGTTTTTGAATTTCGTTGCAATAAGGGAATGTACCCCTTAGAGTACATGGCTAGTCTAGGTCGTTTCGCATTCCTTTGTATTCCTATATAAACCCAATGTATGCATGCTATTATCAATCTCAGTCATTTACATTCACTCTGACCTGAGTTCAATACTTCCGCTGCGACACAACCCGCGATCAACCCTGAACGATCCTTTCACTAAGTCTCACTTCAGATTGTAACATGGTATGAGAGCTACTCAGGGATTCTTCGCAACGCCGCCTCCGTAAAATTCGCCGAACCTAAATCTGGCGAGCGGCACACGCTCCAATACCAAGATGGCCGGAGGATATGGAGGTCAAACAAATCTAACGGCCGAAGGACGAACCAAGCCAGGCAACAACCACGATCGGCACTGCCGCCCTCGAGCAGTTATTCGCTCGACTGTCAACCATGGAGAAAGAACTCCAAGAACTGCGCAAAGGCGATGCGGGAACCACTTCCCAACCAGCTCAACCTGGACAACCGGATGTGAAAAGCCGCGATACCGCCGCGCATGGCTTCTCCCTCGATTCAGACAAATCTGCAACAACTGCCCCTCGTCCAAGCGACGAAACAATCAACTCTGCGCAAGCACGCTTTCTGAGTGTTTCAAAAATTAAGACTACTGCCGCATTCGACGGCAAGGATTTCTACACATGGAGTTTTGAGCTTGAGCTCCTCCTACAGACAGCGCAGATCTACCACTACTTCGACGGCTCCTATCCTAAACCGGTGGAAGACACCGAAGACGCCCGGGCTCAATACTACAGTGAGTCCCTCATGGCGTACAGCGTTCTGCTACGCAACATGTCACCCGCAGAACAGCTCGGCATTCGCTCCTACAAAGAGAGCGCCGCTCCAGCTCTGGAAGCTTGGAAGCACCTCGTTGAGGTATATCAGCCGAAGGATTCCGTCACTGCCAGCAGACTCCTGCAACAACTCATGGAGACCAAGATGGGGCACGGGGAGAAAGCAAACAGTTACATCAACCGTTGTCGGAACATCCGTGATCAAATCATGAAGAACGGAAGCTCTATTTCGGAGGAAATCTTCGTCAACATTATCCTCCAAGGACTTGGGCCTGAGTGGAAGCCCTGCAAAGCACTACTCCGACAACGAGGAACCATCTCTGAAGCCGCGCTATGCGCCGCACTGCTGACTGAACAGCAGGACATGGATTCGAGCAGAACAAGCTCCGCGCCGCGCCGAGAGCGCCTCACCTTTTTCGCAGACAACCGTGAAGAGCGACGACAACCCAGGCGCCACTATTGCAAAATATGCAAAGTCTTCGGACATTCAACGGATCGATGCAAATCCCGATCCAGTTATCGCCACCCGAATTCCACTCACCACAACAACTGGGTCGGCCGACAAGACGCTCGTCATTCTCATCGACAGCACATCCCTCGTTCCCCTGCACAGCAACAACCACAGCAGGCACAAGGACCTCAAGGAGGAGCTCCTTGAAACGTGATCGCGAACATGGCGACAAGACGCCGTAGCACCGCTGAACCAAACGAAGAAGATGAGATTCAAGGAGGGCTACTTCAACCAGAGGAAGGATACAATAATCCCCTCACGGAAAATCACTACTATGGGTACTACGAAGACGAGAAAGATTCGCATCTGCCGATCACACGGCGGGAAAGTCTGCCACACGACAATCAACACTACGTACCTGTAGGATGGAAGGAGGATGAAGACCCACTGTTTCACAAGCGCTACAAGGCAACACTGGTAACTCCGCGACTCGCACTACTCCTACGCAACAACAACACCGACAACTACAACACCTGGTACCTGGACAGCTGCTGTGGACAGCACATGGTGGGGTCCGTCCGATATGTTTCGAACCTAAGCCGCGCCCCCGCAACCTACGTCACCGTCGCCAACAACCATCAGCTGCGCGCCAACGCACAAGGCATCGTGGTCCTGCAAGCACGAGACAGCAACACGCACATCTCGTTCAACGACGTGCTCTACGAAGTTGTCCTCGACTCCGCTTCAATCTTCTCTCTGCAGGACAACTTCGCGACTACGGAGTCGTGCTCACTACGGACCTGGCCACGCGTGACCTCATCCTCACCCACGCCCCTCCGGACACACCTCCCGAGTCGCACAAATACCTTGGGCGGGCTCGGTCGATAAACGACATCTACGTTCTGGACTTCGACATACCAAGCTGTCAGGCTTCGTCCGACAAGCTCGTGGATCTCGTCCCCCTCGATTTCCCTTTCATGAACCAAGAGTCGAGGGAGCATCCAGACGGAAGACCGTGGATTCGCCGAAGCCCTCATCCCCGCGAAATCAACCTGCACGAACCCGACATCAACGACCTCTGCACCACCTGCTACACGCCCACGGCAAGCCGCACGGAACAAGTTGAAAGGGACTATGCGGCAATCCAGGAAGCTGAGAGTGCCGAGGCAGAACCCACTGGCATGACTGAGGAGGAACTAGCTGTCACCACTTACCGTATCTTCGGGGAAGGAAACGAGAGATTCGGACAATTGCCCGTCCCGCGCCCAACGCCGCGCACAGAAACACTCCGTTTCATCCTTGAAGCTAACACCAGCACCTTCGACGAAGAGAATCGCCTGCTTGCGTACACTCGAGAGGTCTACTGCAGGGAAATTGACCCCGCCTGGAAAGACCTTGACGCAGAGGGAGAGCTAAGCGTTAAGGAGGAACGAGACAAGGTCAAGGCAAAAAAGAAATAGAAGCTGTACGAGGAGCGCGTAGCGGCAGGCTGGA